CAATTTTAGACCATCAGTCAAAGTTTAGGAGGTACAGATTTGAGTTTAACCTATGAGGTGTTAGATACCTAACAGGTACTTACAAACTGCTTTTGCTAAAAAGCACTAACTCCTTACTTGGGCCCAGGAGTTAATAAAAGAAGCACTATGAAAATCTTACCATTCCTGCCTCCGTTTTATATCTATTTCTGCTCTGAGCAGTCACCTTGGAATCCAGAAAGAACAGGACTGATCGATGCATCTTGTGACAAGTTGAAACTGCCCTCCACCCCCATCCCCAAACCAGCCACCAATGACTTTCTTATCTCGACCAGGCTCCACTTGACCAATTCTGAGATGATGAACAACTCTGGTCATGGGATCACACCTGTAACTGTTTAACAGTTACGCACACCTCTCACCCTCTGCCCCAATTCTTTCTTCAATTAAACCTAAAGCTCCCATGTGTACCCCCAAAGATGAGCTAAAATCCTTCTTTTGCCTCTTTCCATGAACATAATAAATGACCTATCTTTACCCTTCACCACTTCCCGTCTTTATTTGGTGTTGGGGCAAGTGGACAAACTTGACATGTGGAACACCTGGAGTTAGACCTCTGGCCTAGAACTCCAGTTACAGATGGTATCAGAATTGAATTGTACAACACCAGGACCATGTGCCCCTTGGAACTGGAGAATTGCTTGGTGTAGAAACCCTACACATTAGTAGTCAGAAGGACTGGATGAGAGTATAGAGAGGGAAAAAAAGTTTTCCTACTTAGATGGTTACAAGAAATTACTATGGTGTACTCACGTCCCACCAGTTAGAGGTGGCTACATTTTAATGGTGACTATCTTTCCACCAAGTCTTAATTTTACATTTAGAGGATTAAGTAATATAATTACATCTAGGAATCAGAATGGATGATGTAATGTTATTTCACAGTAATAAATTGCTCATTGAATTTATCACTAACTGTACAACATAAGTGCAGGAGCATTTTTAGTTTTTCCTTCAGTTTGCTTAACATTCACCTCTGACACATGGCTTATTAGGTATCCATAGCTGTGTAACAAATTAACCCCCAAAATGCAGCAATTTGAAGCATCATTTATTATGTTAGCTTCCTTTCTGGATCAGGAGTCCTTGCGCAGCATGGAAAGGTCCTCTGCCTCAGGGTGATAGGCAAGGCTGCAATCAGGGAGTCTGCCAGGGCCACAGTCATCTCAAGCCTCAGTTGGGGGACAGATAGGCTTCCAGGTTCATACACTGGCTTTTGGTGGGCTGGCTGCTGGGTACAGACACCAGGGCTTTGCTACTTGAGCCTCAGTGTAGGCCACTCACTCATAAATTGGCAGCCTCCTCCTACTGAAGTGAGGGCTCTGAGAGGGAATGAGTGAGAGGAGGAAAGAGGTTATTAGCAAGACAAAAGTCTTTTGGCTTTGAATCTTGGAAGTGATGCTCCATCATTTTTGCCATATTGTTTGTTAGAAGCAAGTCACCAGGTGCACTCCACATGCAAGGGAAGCAAATCACTGGAAGTCAGCTTAGAAATTGCTGACTTCACAATGATAACATTGAAGGGAGCACTCCTCAAACTAAAACGAATGAAGAACCAACTTTTCCAATTGGTTGTCGGTCAGTACTTTCATAAAAAAGAATAGAAATTCACCCCTAAAAATAATGTAAGATAAAGGCATTAAAAAAGCAACCCCGTGGATCATGCATTGGATGTCACAGTGATGGCAAATTGCTATAAAATTTCTAAACACTCACTCCTACTTTCTATATTCACATCTGTGCATTCAACCAACCATGGATCAAACATATTTCAAAAAAAGGTTTTCTGTACTGAACTTGTACAGATTTTTTTCCTTGTCATTAGTTCCTAAACGATAAGGTATAATAACTATCAACATTTATTTACATTGTATTAAGTATTATAAGTAATCTAGAGATGACTTAAAGTATACAGGCGGGTATGCACAGGTTATATACAAAGCTACATCATTTTATATAAGGGTCTTCAGCATCTTCAGAGTTAGGTATTCAAGGGAGATCCTGCAACCTGTTACCTGCTCTGCAGTTAACAAGGGTCAACTATACTTACCTCATCTGGAGCAGGTCATCCTTTGAGTAGCACTGATTTAAGGACTTTATAAGTACAAAGCTTTTTTTTTTTTTTTTGTGGTATTGGGGCTTGAACTCAGGGCCTGAACCTTGAGCCACTCTACCAGCCCTATTTTTTTTGTAAAGGGTTTTTTTGAGATAGGGTCTCACGAACTATTTGTCCAGGCTGGCTTCGAGCTGTGATCCTCCTGATCTCTGCCTCCTGTGTAGCTAGGATTACAGGCATGCCAGGCAACTTTCCAAACCCTTTTATAAGACAATGGTCTAGACTTATCAATTGACTATATCTGGATGGAGTGATTCCATAAATAAATCTAAATAGAAGTCTTTCCTTACAATTTTACTCCACTGTCTGCTCTCCTAGAAGTGGGACCTTTAGTTATTCAAATCAAGAGTATACAAGACTGATAGAGTCTCAAGTTTAATATTTAACTGTAAAATCTTTTTGTGCCCCATTTCCACAAGTATGGAAACTGAAGAGGTAATTTGCTTTGAAGTAAGCGTCTGATAGATATCACAATTTGCATTTTAAAAGTCAGCCCACTCCCCCACTAATGTGAGGAGGGAAGTTCGAAATGCTCTTCCTGTTCTTAGTCTATTCAGAGCCCTCAAAACACATCTGAACGGGCTGGAGGTGTGGCTCAAGCTGTATAGTATCTGCCTTGCAAGGGTGAAGCCCTGAGTTTAAACCCCAGTCCCACAAAGCGCACGCGCATACACAACATACACATACCCCTGAAGTATAACCTCCTCAATTCAACTAAAAAGTTTTTTTAAAAGAAGCTTTCTTTTTTAGCATCAGCTGTGGGCAAGATTCTGGAAGGTACCAATTTGAAGAAGTGGCCACATCTGCCCTCACTTGGTTTATAGCACTTCCTATATAAACTCTGAATCATTTACATTTCCATATTTTGGAATTTAAGTACATTCTTTGTCTTGTTTCTAAATGTCTAACAAGTTTATATCTACTGTCCATAATAAGCCATAAAGTGACTGAACAAAAGTTCTCCATTTCATGTCTTTCACAGCCTCCAGCACAGTGTCAAGCAATTAGCAGGTCCTCAGGAAAACCCTGAATATGCCAGACATTTGCTGAGACAAGACCAGAATCCACTGCTCAGGGACTTCTGTCCCAAATCTTGCTAACTGGGTTGGTAAACACCTCACTTCAGCCTCTTCACCACCCTCTACCCATACTCCAAAGCTTAAAACTGAAGCAACTTTAAGAAGTCTGTTGTGGTGCAAGCCTGTAATTCCAGTCCTCTGGAGGCTGAGACAGGAGGCCCATGAGTTTGAAGACAGCATGAACCACATTAGACTTCATCTCAAAAAACCAAGGACCAGGGATATAGCTCAGAGGTAGGGCACTTGTCTACCATACCCAAGGCCATAGGTTTCATTGCCTAGCACCACGGGGGGAAAAAAGTCTGTTTCTGTTCCTCTGCTCTCCACTCCCGCCCCCCACACATGGACAGATAAATCTCTTATCACACCATCCCCAGGAGACAGAAAACAGGGTGGAAGAAGGGGGCACTTAAAACAAGTCTTGCTCAACTTCTTACCCAACTGCCAACCCTCAGTTGGACACCCTCCTCCCCACCAAGGAAGGGAGTAAGGTAGGTACGTTTGTAAGGTAGGTACAAAGGTGAACCAAACAGGTTCCTTGCCCTCAAGAACTTACAATAGACAGATCAGACCAACCCTCAGCTACTGTAAAATACAAAGTAGAACTGGCCAAGCGTTGCGATGTTAGCAGATGGAGAAAGCGCTGTGAGAGAAGAGATGGAGGAGAGATTAGTTCCAACTGGTGAATATTCAGAGGATGTAGCTTTGGGGCTAAGCCTTGCAGGATGAGTAAGACAGGTCTCCCTATCTATCCAGTGCTGTGATTGGTGGTTTGCAAGCATTCGCTGAAACTCACAAGAGGTACTGCTATTAGGCTCGTATTTACACTGAGGAAATGAGGTGCAGAGAGGACCATTTGTCTTAGGTCGAGCCCAGGAAGTAGTGGAGGCGGGATTTGAACACATACAGGTACCTGTAGAGCTGGTGCTCTTAGCCAATACTTCAGGAGCAAAAGATACCACGAGGGAAGACCTGTCAACTGGCAGAGCACGTCCAGGCAATAGTGGCGGCCTTTCTCTCCCTCTCTCTCTAATACTGTTCGAACGCAATGGCGGCTTGGAATTTATGTCAAACTCCCGGACTTTATGTGTATTTCATCTGACCTCACCACATTCCCATTTAACAGGTGCCATTAGCCCATTTTACCGGTAAGGGACCGCGGGTTAAGTAACTCATCCAAGGTCACACAACTGGCTTAAAATAAGCTAGAATCCGAATCCCGGGCCAGCCTCTTGAGCCTACTCTTATCTTCTGTCAGTCAAGAGTTCTCACCAGGGTGAAAGCTCTTTACAAGCCATCAGGTGCCACCAAGCCGTGCAGTTACACATCCTGCTCACCCCTCCCTCCTTTTGCTCTCCCCTCGCCTCCCTCCCTCCCTCCACTGGAGCTTTCAGTTAGGATGGCCCAGCTCAAAGCCGCGGGGCTGCCACGGCCCCAGGGTGCTCAGGACTTCTGTTCCCAGGAAGCTTTGCGTCCCTCATAAAGAACCCAGGCATCGGGATCCCCGCCGCACTGCCCTTCCATCCCGAGGGCGCGGGCCCAGGGCGGCCGTGGGCGTGTGCCCCGCGGGGACGCCCGCAGCGCGGGGCGGGGCCTGGCCGCGGCGCGGGGCTTCGGGACTGACGGGCGGGCTCGGCGCGCAGGTGGCTCCTCCTCCGCCTCTCCTGATCCTGGGCCGCGCCAGGCACGGTGCCTGCTGCCCTGGGAGCGTCTTTGTGCCCAGCTCGGGGAAGCCTGCGACGTCCGCTTCCCCGCCGGGGTCCATTGTTGTGCTTCCCGACAGGTGACCGCGGCTGCAACGCGGGGACCCACGGGCGCCGGCTGGGGCGTCTCCCGGCGCGGGGTGGGAGATGAAGCTTCTGAAGCCGTGGTGGTCGGCGGGTGGCGGCCTCCTGCACCTCACCTTCCTGCTGAGCTTGGCGGGGCTCCGCGTGGATCTGGACCTCTACCTGCTGTTGTCGCCGCCCGCCCTGCTCCGAGATGAGCTGCTCCTGGGCTGCCCGCCCCGCCCCGCCTACGCGCTCAGCCCCTTCCCCGCTTCGGGGGGCTGGGGGCGCGCCGGCCAGCTGCACCCCAAGGGCGAGGAGCCGGACCCCACGGCGCAGCTTGAGAGCCACCTGCTCCGCGAGGTGCGCGCGCTCGGAGTCCCCTTCATCCCCCGCACCCGAGTGGATGCGTGGCTGGTGCACAGCGTGGCCGCTGGGGACGCGGACCGTGGGCTGGTCGGCGCCAGTGTGGACGGCGGCAGCCAAACGGCGCCCGGTGGCGGCGGGGACCCTCGAGGGGCTCGCAGTAGCCCTTTGGCCGGCGCCGAGGAGGAGGAGGAGGCAGCGGCGGAACCGACGGCGCAGGTGCCGGACGCGGGCGGACGCGCGAGCCAGGTAACCTGAGAGCGGGACGCGACCGAGTGCGGCGTCTGCGCTGCCCGGGGCGCCCGGGGTGGGGGGCTGGCCAGGAGCCCTCGAGGCTTGTGACGTACCAAGCCCCTAGATGGCTGTGGGCTCCCGGGCGGCTCTGCTCCTTTTTGTGGATCTGAATGAAGGCTGGTAAGTGCTTATTTTATGGGGTTTGGGTTTTAAAGAAAGAAATGGGTGGTATCACCGGCTTGGGTGTAGAGAACAACCCCCCTTGTGATTGATGGCTATCTAGGATAGCTCGGGGGTAGGGAGAGGAGAAGGGATGGTGTTGGTTTTCTGACCCACTCCCCTGGTTCGGTACCTCGCGTGCGCTGAGATGTCTTTCTCCCCAACCTGTGCGGGACTGGAGGATACCCAGGCGGCCTTGGCCTCTGAGCGGATCACGTCTTTTAAGAACCGTGCGCCCAGCTAACAACTCAGTGGCCTTCGTCCTGAGTTTAACCCAGTTGTAGGCACTTTGTACTGCTTCCCCGGAATAAGGAGCCATGTCAATATCCACACGGAGGCCAGCCGGCAGTCATTCCTCTTCGAACTTGTGTAACCTCTTATTAGCATACAGAAAACAGAGACCTTGACAGTCGCCTGTAACCAACAAATTCTCTTTGGTTTAGGGGCGCAACCCCTTCTGTGGTTTAACTGGATACAGTTCACGGCGATCTGTGGATTGAAGTAGCCATTGTCCCTCAACACAAGACCCCCTTATCTAAAGTTCCTGCCTTTGGCTTTTACAATTCCTTCTTGGCTCAGATCCTGGCGTTAACAGCTGGCATGGATCAACAAGTTCCTGGGATGTTGCTTTTGCGAAGGGCGGTCTTATGCAAAATGGGAATTGGGGCAAAACTAGTTTGTTTGCAGCTCTTTAGAATCACACTGTTTGTGTGGGCAGTTGTCGGACGGGCTTCTCCACCCTTTCCTGCAGGGTCATTGTGTGAAGTGCGGGTGATTCACTGTTATGCTTATCTGATGCCTTCCTCCTCCTGGGGACCGGAACTAAGGGTGTGGGGGTTAGGGACAGCCTCTGTGGGCGCCTGTCCAGAACAAATGGGAGGCAACACCTCCCCCTCCCACCCACCTCCCACACACTCAGGCCATTTGTACCCTAGGGGTCTGTCTCACCTGAGGAGGAGGGGTACCTGCTGCTCTGGTACCTTTCCTGGCTCTATAACATACCAGGTTGAAACCCCAGTGGAGTGCTATCCCCTTTACAAAGTGTACCCGGACCTGGAAGGAGGGAAGGCTGTTCACACCCAGGACTTGCCTCTCAGCATCACCTGGTTGATACTGTTGAGACTGGCCGGACTGCATTTGGAGGCAACTCTGGGAGTCTGGGTCCAGCCAGACCACCCTGGAGGCCTGGAGTCCCCTTCCTGGAGAAGAGAGGAAAGTTCCCCTAGAGCCTTTCTCCCCGTGGTACCTGCGAGGGCTGAGCTGGCATGTGTACAGCTGCTGGACTGCAGTGGATGCCGGGTGACTTGGTTCTCTTCAGTCTGGCAGTGATTAGCTGGAGCTCCTCTGAGCTTTCACAGCCAAGTTACCTTTGCTGGTAATGACTTCTAGAACACAGGCCAGGCATCTCATATCTCATATCCGTACTTGAGGAAAATAGAAGCCCAGTGAGGTTGAGAGAGGTAGCAGAAGTGGAATTAGAACCTGAGTCTCCCTTTTCCTACACTGGTATGTTAATTAAGCAATTTGCACTGTAGTCAGGCTCTTTAGACAACTATGCATCTGTGGTGGGGTCACTCAGTCCCCCATTTAGCCTGTCTCCAGAGCCCAAAGCAGCTCTCTGGTACTGGCTTTATTTATTTATTATTATTTTTAATGGTACTGGGGTTTGAACTCAGGGCCTCATGCTTGCCAGACAGGTGCCCCAACACTTGAGCCACTCTGCCAGCCCTTTTAATGTGTAAATTAATTGTATAAAGTAGTTTCATTACAGTAGTTACATACATACATACTTTGATCAAATACACCCTATATACATTACTCTTTCTTAATCTCCCTCCCTTGTAAGAAGTTTTTTTTTTTGATGGGACTGAGGTTTGAACTCAGGGCTTTGCACTTATAAAGCAGGTGCTCTACTGCTTGAGCCACACCTCCGGTCCATTTTGCTCTGGTTGTTTTGGAGATATGGGAATCTCTGGAACTATTTTCTCTGGCTGGCCTCGAACAGCCCACGATTTTCCCGATCTCAGTCTCCCATGCAGCTAGGATTGTAGGTGTGAGCCACAGGCCACCAGCCATAGGTTTTTCCAGTGGTCTAAACTTGAGTTGTAGGAAATTCTGGTTTTAGGGTATGTTTTTTCATAATTTTTGTACACATGTAAAAGTATTTTAGAGTAGAGCATTTTCCAGGTGTCAAAAGAGTACTGCTTTGGTTTCACTTGACCAATTGGAGCTAATAATTATCCGAAAGCACTCTGGAATTCCCACAGCCACATTCTTCCCTTCTGAACACAGTCATCGCTTACCGATGAACATACGGTCTTCTCACGCATGCACAGGTTAATCAAGACCCAAGCAGTTTTGTAGCGTTGAGTGTGTGGTGACAGCCTACAGCCAGCGGCAGTATTTCAGAGGGCTGTTGCCACTTTGAAACTTGTGGTCATCTTGATGTGGTTTCTTGCCCCGTCAGAGAGACCCTCTGCTGGGTGAGAGATCCCAGAGGACCTCTTGTATTTTTTTTTTTTTTTTTGGTGGGCTTGGTGTTTGAACTCAGGGCTTCATGCTTGTTAGGCAGGTGCTGTACCACTTGAGCCACTTCTCCAGCCCTTTTTTGTGTTAAGTGTTTTCAAGATGGGGTTTCCTAAAGTATTTGCGAGTGCTGGCTTCAAACTAGGATCCTCCTGATCTCTGCCTCATGAGTAACTAGGATTATAGGCGTGAGCCATAATCCCATAAACCGAGCCCTGCTGGGACCTCTTATTTACTCCCCGTTTGGCTGGATTCTTCAGGTCACAGAAAGAATCCAATACAGTTAATATTTAATTCTAAGACTAAATGGAAGAGAAAGTAACAATTATTGTTCAAGTGAAAATTGTTTTTGTTTCAAAATCAAAGGTAATTCTGAAGCCTGGGCAGTTGGACAGAGATGAAAAACATGCTTGTCTGATGTTGATTCACAGCTGTGATCAGAAAGTCTTAGTTTCATTCGTTGCAGTTTGATGAAGTTTCACGGTAGGGTTTTTAGTTTGCTTACTAAGGGACGAGGTAATGATGTATTTGTGGTCTTCACACAGGAAAGGATAGTGTAAGTCCCTGGGTATTAGCGTGCTAGAATGCCACAGACTGGGTGGCTTAAATAGAGATTTACTGTCTCACAGAAGTCCAAGATGAAGGTTTAGGCAGGGTTGGTTCCTTCTGAAGGCTAAGGGAGAATGTGCTCACAAAGCTCTCCTGAGTTCTGGTGGCTTGTTGGCAGTCTTTGGCATTCCTTGGCTTCTGCTGTGTCACCCCAATTCTTTGCCTCCATCTTCCGGTGGCTTCTGTGTGTGTGTCCAAGTCACCCTTTTTGTAAGTCATTCATGTAAGGATGCACTTTGCTGTCTTTACCTAAGAACATCTGCAATGACTCAGTTTCCAAGTAAGATTATATTCTCAAATCCTAGGGGTTAGGACTTGACACAACTTAACCCATCTCAGTCAGCATCGCCCTTCTGCCCCATTAGTGTTTAGCTTGCTTAGGCTGCAATAATTCAAAGCTAAGCTGGCTGAGAGTGGCTGGTCTGTGTGCCAGGCCCACTTGCAGCAGGGCTTGGTATATGCTCATGAGGAAACCTCTGCTTTTAGCTGGGCACCAGTGGCTCACACCTGTGGTCCTAGCTACTCAGGAGGCAGAGATCTGGAGGATCCTGGTTTGAAGCCAGCTGGTACAAATAGTTCATGAGACCCTATCTTGAAAAAAAACCTTTAAAAAAAGGGCTGGTGGAGTGGCTCAAGATGTAGGCCCTGAGTTCAAACCCCAGTACCACACCAGAAAAAATCTCTGCTTTCTGCCGTTGCTGTCTTGGTGCACAAACCTAGGGACCTTAGTTCAAACCACCTTTTATTTGCAAGTTATAAGACATCCTCTTTGAAGTGTCTCCTAAATCATGCACCCTTCCCTCTGCTTCTAAGTTCACCCAGTGGGAAAGCAGCACTCAGGGCCCAGGAGTCAAGGGAGGCTGGTCTAGCGGTGAAGGGTGCCAGCACTGGACTCTGACCAGCTGGGGCGATCTCAGCTGCACTGTGTGATCTGCAGCACATCCTTCACCTTTCTGAGCCTTGGTTCCCTTCTCTGTATAGTGGGATGGCAAGAGAATGTCTGAAGCAGTTGCTGGGAGGGTTAAACATAAGTGAGATGGTACTGCTCTTGCTGACCAGGGTTGGTACGTGGTGGGCTTTGCATATTAGCCGCTGCTAACAATTTAGCTGGGGCCCAGTAGTAAATACCCCTAGCTGTCATCACCCCTAGCTCACTCTGCCTCCAGGTGCAGGTCTCCACCTCCATTTGGGGAGCCTCCACTAGCTCCCCGTTACCTACTAACTTCACATTTTGTCATTCAAGGCTCCTCAAGTGGATTAATATCCTCAATATATAAAGAATTCCAAAGAACAAGTAATCCAGTCAACAAACAGGCAATTAAATTGAATAGACAATTCTCAAAAGAAGTACAGATGGCCAATAAATCCATGAAAAAATGTTCAACATCTTTAGCCATCAGGAACATGCAAATCAAAACAACACTGAGATTCTACTTTACACCAGTCAGAATTGTTATCATCAAGAAAATGAACAACAAATGCTGGTGAGGGAGTGGGAGGGGAGACCACTAATGTACTGTTGGTGGGAATGTAAACCAGGGCAGCCAGTATGGAAATCGTATGGAAATTCCTGAACAAACTAAAAATAGACCCACCAAATGATCCTGCTATATCATTCCTGGGCATATACCCATGGGAATCAAAATCAGCATACCTGCACA